CTAGTCTTGTACTTCTTCATCTATCTTTCCACTCGTCTTTCCATTAGTCGGTTTTGTATTTCTTCATCTATCCTTCCATTCGTCTGTCCGTTAGTCTGCTCATCCACCCATCCATCTAGCCATCCCCCCTCCCCTCCCCCCCAGGCTACCATGTGTGTGTACAGTCATCTATCCATCACTGTATCCACCCAAGTGTACTTGTATGGAATTACGCCTGAATAATAATTGATTCTCTGGCCGGTTTTTGGAGTAAATGGAGATGAAGGATAACTGAAGCATTGAAGATAATGATACATGATGGTAAGGTTAACTGTGCTGTTGTTGTGGATGATGTTTTAGTTGTTTTTTTTCACGATTTTTTTTTTTTTTTGTTTAATAATGTGACAGTTGAGTGCTTGGTTGTTTGTGTGTGTATATATTTACACACACACACACACACGCACGCACGCACGCACACACACACACTCACTCACTCACTCACTCACTCACTCACTCACTCACTCACTCACACTCACACACACACACACACACACACACACACACACACAACACACACACACACACACACACACACACACACACACACACACACTTTTTTTTTGTGTGTGTATGTACATTTGGTATTTGGTTAATTTCTCTTTCCTCTTTCATTTCGCGCCCTTGAATACTTGAATCATTATTTTTCCCGACTTAAATATGAATGAGAAAAAAAAGTCGAGATGCCAAGGCGAAAAAAGTCGAGGGAATGCAGAGGGCGTGAGTAATCGCCTCTCGCGCTCGTGGATGTCGACGTTTCTCCTGGCGTCGCTTGATTCGTCATTATTTTATGGAAGGAGTGAGACGAGATGCTTTTAAGGTTAAGGAAAACTTGTCTTTGCCTTGACTTCTCTTTCTCCTTTTCCTGCATTTTTTTTCTTTTCGGTTGTCTATTATTATTGTTATTATTATTATTATTATTATTGTTGTTGTTTTTGTTTCGTCATTTTTCATTTTCGTTAGCTTCTTCCTTTTCGTCTTCTTCCTTCTGCACCTTCTACTCTCTACCCTTCTCCTCCTCCTCTCCTTCTCCTCTTTCACTTTTTCTTCTTCGTCTTCCTCGTCTTTTTCATCATCTTCCTTCTTCTACTTCCTAGTCGTCTTCCACTTCCCCATTGCTCTTCCTCCTCCTCCTCCTCTTCTTCTTTTTCTCCTTTCCTACCATTTGCCTTTCTCACCCCAGACCTCTGTTCCTCTCCCCCACTCCTTACCCCTCCTTAAACCCAGTTCTAACCTTTCAATACCCTGACACACCATCCTGCAAAGAATGCATTTCACCTCTTCTCCTCTCTCCCCTCCCTTCCACCCCTTTCCCTTCTCCCCTTCCCCATTATCATTTCCCTTCCTCTCCTTCTTTCCTCCATTCCCGTCTCCCATTCTCACCTCTCATCTCCCTCCTCTCCCCCCTTTTCTCTCTTCGCCATCACCCCTCCCTTTCTCTCTTCCCTCCCCTTCCCATTCACCTCTCTCCCTTCCCCTCCTCTCACCTCTCCCTTCCTCATTCACCCTCTTCCCTCCCCTCCTTCCCCCATTCCTCTCTCCCCTCCCTCTCCCTCCCTCCCCCCTCCCCCCCCCCCCCCACACACACACACAACAGCGACGAAACCCCTTACCGCGAGTACAGCGAGCGAGTCCTTTGTGCAGCCGGCAGCCGGCAGCCGGGATTACGTAAAACATTACATTCGTCTTTTTACTTTTGTTTAACTTTGATTGTTTACGTTTTTTTTTCGCGTGTGTTTATTTGTTTTGTTTGTTTGTGCAAGTTGATTTTGGTTGATATTGCGGCCTTGTTTTGTGTGTTTAGGCACGGTGTTTGGGTTTTCTTGTGTGTTGTAATTAGGTTTGTTTTGTGTTTGTTTTTATTTCGGGTGCGGTGTTTCATCATTATCGTCATTCATCGCCATTATCACCATCATTATCAATATCATCATCTTCATCATCATACCATCATCACCATCGCTATCGTCATCATCATCGTTATTATCATCACCATCATCATCACATCATCATCATCATTACCACCACCATCGTCATCACCATCATCACATCATCATTATGATCATGTTCAGTAAACAAGACTAGAAACCAAAGAACCCTCCCCCCCCTCAAAAAAAAAAAAAAAAAAAATCAAGAATAGAGACCAGACCCATCCGTCCGCCGCATCGAAGGCAAACGCTAATGACGACGGCGAATGAGCTTGCGAGAAAAGTAGAGACAATGCGAGCGCTGAAGGGTGTGGGGATAGGGTGGGGGGAGGGGGGAGGTCAGGGTGGAGGGTGGGGTTGGGGTTAGGGGTTGAGGGTTGGGGTGGGGGAGCCGTATCATTGTTTCCTGAAGAGGCATTATTAGTTCGGGTGTTTAGATCGGGTGAGCGGATCATTGCAGGGGTCGTGGCGGAAACTGTTTCAGGGAAGGAGGGTGGAGGAAGGGAAAGGGAGGGCGGGAAGGAGATTGGGGGGGGGAGAATAGGATGGAATGGGAGAGAGAGAGTTAGAAAGAAAGAAAGAAAGAGAGAGAGAGAGAGAGAGAGGAGAGAGAAAAGAAGAAAGAAAGCGAGAGAGAGAGAGAGAGAGAGAGAGAGAGTTAGAAAGAAAGAAAGAGCGAGAGAGAGAGAGAGAGCGAGCTATAAAACGTCACAAAAGAAAGAGTTGTAAAGATTCCCCCGCACACAAAAAGGTGTTTCTCGCGAGTCCCGCGCGGGGCCGGGAGACAATGGCGCTGAATGGGATTAGCGGCGAGATAGAGTCATTAGCAGTTTTATGAAGCATTGGGGGGGGTGGGGTGCGGGGGCGGGGGGGCGATTCTTCCCGTGCCTCGGAGCGAAAGGGGGAAGCGGGTGACCACGAGAGGGGATGATCGCCCTGGCCCAATGCGGCGGAGGGGGTGGGGGGATTGGGGCTTTGGCTGGGGGGAAGGGAGGGTGGGAAGGTAGTTGGGGGGAGGAGATGGGGAGGTTAGGTTGGGGGAGAGGAGGGGAGGGTTGGTTGGGGGAAGAGGTGGGAAGGTAGGTTAGGGGAGGAGGTGGTTGGGAGTTGGAGTGGGTTGGAGGCTAAGGGGGAGGGCTAGAATGGGGTGGGGATGAAGAGGGGGTATAAGTAGGTTGGGGGGTAGAAAGTGTAGCGGATGAAGAGGGGTAGAGAGGATGAATATTTGGAGGAGGTGGGAGGGGGGGTAGTGGGGATAGAGGTTGAGGGGAGGATGGGGGAGGGGGAAGGGAGAGGAGATGGCGGCTGGTGGGGGGGGGGGGCTGGAAGGGGTTGAGTGGGGAAGCAATGGCGGCGGAGGAGGAAGAGAAGATGGAGGCAAAGTACTTGAATGGAGCCTTTTTTTTATACATTTTTAGGCCTCTCTCTGCCATCTGTTATTCTTTTGTTTTCGGTATTCAGATTAGTCTGGGTAGAATACTCCTGTCTATATCCTGCTGTGTAATTATCTCTCCTCTCTCTCTCTCTCTCTCTCCCTTCTCCCTCTCCCCTCCCCCTCCCCCTCCCCTCTCCCTCCCTCTCCCTCTCTCCCCTCCCTCCCTCCCTCTCCCTCCTCCATCTCTTCGTTAATTTCAGTCCTCTAGGATATATTATTTTATTCTATTTTATTTTACATCATCTCTTGGAAATGATGATCAAGACGCAAGGAAATAATAAAAGGAAGAGAGAAGCGCGGACGAGGAGCAAGTAAAACGTTAACACAAGTCGACGTGTTTGTTTGCGCTTTTGCAATGAGGTAAACAAACAAACAAACAAACGCTTTTGCAATGAGGTAAACAAACAAACGCTTTTCGAGGTAAAAACAAACAAACAAACGCTTTGCAATGAGGTAAACAAACAAACGCTTTTGCAATGAGTAAACAAACCAAACGCTTTTGCAATGAACAAACAAAACCTTTGCAATGATAAACAAAAAACGCGCTTTTGCAATGAGGTACAACAAACAAAAACGCTTTTGCAATGAGGTAAAACAAACAAACAACGCTTTTGCAAATGAGGTAAACAAACAAACAAAACGCTTTTGCAATGAGTAAACAAACAAACAAACGCTTTTGCAATGTTTTTGCAATGAGGTGCGGCCTGCAACGTACAACCTGCAGCCTCTTTTCCATCGTTTTTTTTTTTTCTCTCCCCCCCCTGGCGACTTCGGCGGGTGAACGGAGGAAGGGGGGAGAAAGGAGGGAATGGAAGAATGGCGAATTAATCAAAAGCAGAAAGCGTAGAGGATCATCATGCGTCCTTTGAGTGTAATCAGAGGGGGGGGCGGGGCGGGAAGTTGGGGTGATGGGGGGGGGGGGGGAGTTTGGGTGATGGGGAGGAAGGATGGTATAGATTACTCCTTTTTCGTTTTTTGGAGCGGATGTTTGTCAATGCGTGGAGTATTTTTTTTTTCTTATTCTTGTTCTAAGGATTGAATTACAGTCTGTGTCCTTTGTGTTGTGTGGGTCTCTTGTTTGTTATTGCTTCATATTTGCTTTTCTTCTCTTTTTTCTTTTTCTTCTTCTTCTCCTGTTTCATCACTTGTTTTTCCTTTTCGTTTGGAGAGGAACTTCATTTTACCCTATCGTTCGCCTGGTTGATATTTATCGTCGACGAATGTTTAGAGAGAAAGCTCGAGGACGACTGTTCGAGCGGCACTCGGAGAATCGAAGAACAAGGCTCATGCTCGAGAGTAATTCCCCGCGGTACATGGTTTCTAACAAGCCGCCCAATCACAGACATTATGATGGACGCTGAGGCAGAGGAGAGGGGGGAGAGAGGGGAGGGGGGGAGAGGGAGGGAGAGAGAGAAAGGGGAGGAGGAGGAGGGAGAGGGAGAGAGAGAAAAAGAGAATGACAGAGAAAGAAAGAGGTAGAATGTGGATAAGGGCGTATGCACGGAGGGAGGGAGAGAAAGAGAGAGAGATAGATGTAGGGAGATACGTTCTTCCAGACACGCCCATGAACAGCGGGGCAGACACTTCCTTAGCTAGGCCTACCGTTAGAGAGGCTCGTGCGGGAGGTGTGAGGTGTGAGGGCTGGGAGTATGAGGGGTTGCGGGGAGAGGTGTGAGGCTGTGAGGTATGAGGGGTTGCGGGGGAGGTGGAGGGTGTGAGTATGAGGGGTTGCGGGGGAGAGGTGTGAGGTATGTGAGGGGTTGCGGGGAGAGGTGTGAGGTGAGGGGGGAGGTATGAGGTTGCGGGGGAGAGTGTGTGGGGGGTGGGGGGGAGAGGTTGTGAGGTGTGAGGTATGAGGGGTTGCGGAGGAGATGTGGGGGTTGGGGGAGAGGTGTGAGAGGCTGTGAGGTATGAGGGTTGCGGGGGAGAGGTGTGAGGCTGTGAGGGTTGAGGGGGTTGCGGGGAGAGGTGTGAGTATGGTTGCGGGGGAGAGGTGTGAGGTGAGAGAAGCTGTTAGGAGAGGTATGAGGCCGTGGAGAAATGAGGCTTTGGGTGGAATTGAGGTAGTGTGAGGCGACAGATGTTGATGTGTGGGGCTTGAGGTGAGGTATGAGGTTGGGGAGATGGGGGGAGGGGGTGTGGTGCTGGAGGTGGTGTGAGGTGTGCTAGGTTCTCTTGTATTTGAAGGAGGCGAAGTACAAACACTGGAAGAGAGAGACAGAGACAGAGACAAACAAATAGATTAAGACAGACAAACAGACACACACACACATGCACAGAGGAAAAGGGAGAGGGAGGGAGGGACACACACACACACACACACACACACACACACACACAACACACAACACACACACACACACACACACACAAACACACAAGAGAGAGAGATGGAAGAGGGGAAGAGTAGTAATAAGAATCTATTAGAAAAAAAAAATGATTGTGTGAGAGAGAGAGAGAGAGTGAGTGAGTTTGTGTGTATGTGTGTGTGTGTGTGTGGTGTGTGTGTTGTGTGTGTGTGTGTGTGTGTGTGTGCTGTTTGAGTGTGTGTTTGTTGAGTGTGTTTGTGTGTGGTGTGTTTGAGTGTGTGTGTGTGTGTTTTGAGTGTGTATTTTGTGTGTGTGTTTGATCATGTGCCTGCCAGTCTGCCTGCCTTACGCAGCCAACCCCAGCTCACCAGGCGAGGCAGACCGAGGAACCTGATCATTTGGCGCAAACGACGTCATGGCCGCGAAGGGAAGCCACTCGAAGGACCGCTCGCCGTGGCCTGCATTTCGCTCCTGTGGCCGAGGACGAGGAACAATCGAGAAAATGTTTTTGTCCCGAATTCCTCCTACGTCGAAGAGGCCCCCTCCCCTCCCCTCGTCCCACACCTTCCTCTTCTTTCCCCTTTCTCTCTTTTCTTTCTTCTCCCCTTCCCCCTCTCTCCTCTCCTTTCCCTTTCCCCTCTCTCCCCTCTTTCCCTTCCCCCTCTCTCCCTCTCCTTTCCCCTTCCCCTTTCTCCCTCTCCCCTCTCCTTTCCCTTTCCCCTCTTCCCCCTCTCTTTCCCTTCCCCCTCTCCCTCTCCCCCTCCTTCCCCCTTCCCCTCACCCTCTCTCCTCTGGCGTGCGGGAAAAACGACATTAGCATTTTTTATCTGGTGTTATTATCTCCATTTTTCTCGAGTGTTATATTTTCCCAGTGTGATTAGAGGCGTTAAAGCATCTCATTAAAGTACCGTCGTTGGTTAGAAAAAATGTGAGGGGTTTAAGTTCGGTTGATAAGGCTTTTTTTTTTAAATCTTACTTTTAGTTTGTGGTATAATCTGATTACTGCGCCCCCCCCCCCCCTCTCTCTCTCTCTCTCTCTCTCTCTCTCTCTCTCTCTCTCTCTCATCTCTCTCTCTCTCTCTCTCTATCTCTCTCTCTCTCTCTCTCTCTCTCTCTCTCTCTCTCTTCTCTCTCTCTCTCTCTCTCTCTCTCTCTCTCTCTCTCTCTCCTCTCTCTCTCTCTCTCTCTCTCTCTCTTTCCTCTCTCATCTCCTCTTCCCTCATATCCTCCTCCCGTCTCTCCTCTCTTTCTCTCTCATATTTTTGAAAGTAGGAAAGGAGGAAAGGAGGAAAGAAGGAAGGGGGAAGTAGAGAAGGAAAATGGAAGGAAGAAGAAGAGAAAGGATATCAAAAAGAAGGAAGGAAGGAGGAAGGGGGGGGGGGTACAGTAGGGAGGACTCTTGGTCTTATAAAGGAAAAAAAATGAGAGTAGGAGAAAGCCATTATCCTTTGTGAGGTCCTGGGGATTATAGGATAAGGGGTTGGGTGGGGTGTGGGGTGGGGGAGGGGGCAGAGAAGGATGGGTGGGGTAGATGTGGCGAATGGCGATGGATGGGTTGAGTCGGAATGTGTGTGTGTGGGGGGGGGGGGTGGAAGGGCATGGATGGGGGTAGGTGTGGTGGTTGGGGAGGGTCCTCGGGAGTGGGTTTTAGAAGATGGGGAAGGATGGGTGGGGAAATGTGTGGCAAATTGGGATGGATGGTGGTAGGGGGGTCTTGGACTATGTACTTTGGACCCCACGCCCTCGTCCCTCCCTGTCCGTAGCAGAAAGGACGCAGGAGAGAGGGAAGGAAGGAAGGACTACCCTTTACCCTTTTACCTGGCTGTAATTTAGCAAAGGGAGATTGGTCGGGGCCATTTACGGGGCTGAGATAGCTGTGACGTTGCGATGTATAGGGTCAGTGAGGGGGGAGAGGGGTGGGGGGGTGAGGGGAAGGGGGAGAGGGGTGGGGCTAAGGGGTGAGGGAAGGGGGGAGAGGGGTGGGGTTAGGGGTGAGCGGAAGGGGGACAAGAGGGAAAGGGGTGAGGGGGGTAGAGGGGGTGGGGTTAGGGGGAGAGGGGTGGGGTAGGGGTGGGGTCAGGGGTGAGGAAGGGGGAGAGGGGGTGGATTTTGCAGACCCCCCCATCCCGCCCCTTTCCCCGTTCTGCCGCCCCTCTGTTGGAGTTGTTAAGGCTGGATTGATGGGTGGAAGTATCTGGATTTTCCCCATTTCCTTCCATTCCTCCTCTTCCTATTATTATTATTATTATTATATTATTATTATTATATTATTATTATTATTATTATTTTATATTGCATCTACTATATACTATTATTATTATTACTTAATCATCTTTCCCTCTCCTTATTGCTCCTGTCTGCTCCCCTTTTATTATTCTCTTTGTGCCATTTATCACGCCACCTCATTTATTTTATTCACTGGGAAGCACTCCGAAAAGTAGACTAGGAGCATTGGGGTCGCAGGCTCGGATAGCGAAGAGAATGTTGCCGATAGGAAGCGCATCCGGTCATGATAAGAAAGTAAAAATAACGAATAACGAATGCGTTATAGACAAAGAGCGACCTAAAAGAAGGGAATGGGAGGGGAAAGGGGTGCGTCCCTCCCCCCTTCCCTCCGGAGAAAAAAAAAGGATAGAATGATAAAGGAGAAGGAATCAGAGAAAATGATAGAACTGAAGTTGTTTTTAAAAAGTAGGCGTATAAAAAAACAAACAAAAATTGGTAATGATTTGGGAAACGAGGCTGGTTGCCCCCGAGTAAGAGGACGGAGAGAAAATACCGAAAAAAAAAAAAAAAAAAATAGAAGAACGTGGAGGAAAAATATCGGAAAAAAATCAGGAAGACGGAGAGAAAATCCCCACCAAAAAAAAAAAAAAAAAGAGAAGAGAGAGGAGAGAGAGAGAGAGAGAGAGAGAAGAGAGAGAGAAGAGAGAGAGAAAGAAAGAGAAGAAGAGAGAAAGAGAAGAGAAAGAAAGAAAGAAAGAAAGAGACGGAGGGAAAATATCTCCGCGAAAAAAAAAAAGAAAAAAGAAAAAAAAAAAACGGACGAGCGAGCGAGGGCGAGTCCGAGGCCGAGGCGACGGAACTTGACACTGTTTCTACACGGCCACACTTCACCTCGAGGGGGGGGAGGGGAGGGGGGGGGGGGGCGGACTTGGCTTCCTCTGGATTTTTCTTTTTAGGTGGGTAGGGTGTGGGGGTGGGGGTAGGGGTGGGGGTGGGAGGGGTTTGTTTGATAAGTTTCTTGGATTTTTCTCTTTTTTTCTAGTGTTCGTAGGCGCTTGAAAAGGAGAGGATTGAAGAAAAAGCAAGTGACGAGAAAGGAAGGGAAAAGTTTTACTTCAATCGTTACAGTGGTTATTCTTTTTAATCAATGGTAATTTTAATATATATAAAATATTAGATAAATCAAGAATAAGGGAAGAGAGAGGAGAAGAGAGAGACAGAGTGGAGAGAGAAGAGAGTGAATAAGAAAGCGATGAGACAGAAAGAGAAACAGACAGACAGAGACAAGAAAAGAGAGCAAGAGAAAGGGCTCGAAAGAAACGGAAGAGGCAAGCGCCCCCCCCCCCCCCCCTTCCCGACCGGAGTCCCCGAGAGAGCCCTAATTGCGCCAGGCCTTTTGATATCGAGCGTCGCCTGTGCGGTCCGGTTAACCTGTCGGGGATTTATTTATAGCTGTTGTTCTGTCCCGTAGGATCCCCAAGTGCGGCCTGCTGCTTCTTTCTTACTTTCTTCTCTTCTTCTTCTTCTTTTTCTTTTTCTTTTTTTTTCTTTTTTCTTTTTTTTTCTTTTTCTTTTTTCTTTTTCTTTTTTTTTTTTCTTTTCTTTTTTTTTCTTTTTTTTTCTTTTTTCTTTTTTCTTTTTCTTTTTCTTTTCTTCTTCTTTCTTTTTTCTTTTTTTCTTTTTCCTTCTTCTTCTTTCTTTTCTTTTTTTGTGTGTGTGTGTGTGTGTGTCTTGAGGTTGGCCAGGTAGTCGTTTACTGTTTGTTTTGGTGTTTTTTTAAATTCTTTTTTAACTTTTTTTTTGGGGGGGAGGGGTTGTCTTTTTTCTTTCGTTCTTCATTTTTTTTCGAACTATTCTATTTTTTTATTTTTTCCTTTTTTTTTTATCCTCTCTTAAAGATTCTCGTTTATCGCCTCTGCTCTCTCTCTCTCTCTCTCTCTCTCTCTCTCTCTCTCTCTCGTCTCTCTCTCATCTCTCCTCTCTCTCTCTCTCTCTCTCTCTCTCCTCTACATATATAATATATATATATATATATATATATATATCTACATATACATATATATATATATATTATATATATAATTATATATATATAGTATATATATTAATAATATATATATACTATATATATATATATAATATATATATAACTATATTATATATATATAAATATATATTATATATATATGTACTAATATATTGTCTTGTGTGGTGTATATAATACACACACACACACACATATATATATATATATATAATATACGTATTTATAAATATGAATATGTATATATATATGTTTTTTTTTTATATATATATTATATATATATATATATAATATTATATATATACTATATATAATTATATGTACATATATATACTGTATGTATAATATGTATATATGTATATATATATGATATATATATATATATACATATATATATACATATACTATATACATATTTTATACATATATATAGTATATAAGATAGTTACCATATATATAATAACATGTATATATATATATATACATATATATATATACTCATATATATATACTATATTATATATATAGTATTATTTAATGTTTGTGTGTGTGTGTGTGTGTGTGT